TCTTAAAAATAAGGTTTCACAGTCACACATTGCACTGTCTTCAGTGAAAGACCTTTCTGTACTGAAAGGCTGATGGGGGTCTGGGCACTTTATCCGGGTCTTCACACGTGAATTTTCCCCCTTCTTCAAGTGCGTCCCAGGAGAACCTTGTCACTGAGGTGGTGGACCACGAAGAACTCTCAATGCTTAGACTCAACTTCTGGAGCTAGAGAAAATAATATCAATATGGTGAGAAGTGGGTCGATAGTAACATTGTTGTAGTGCATGTCACACCATATATGAATCAAATACATCACTCATACTACCTGTGCCCTTCTCCTGCAGCCAGAGTCTCTTCATTAGAGTAGAAGTGAGCATGCAACACATTGTAGTATATTGTCACATGGTCTTATGTGAATGAAACAAGTGTGTATGAAAAAAAAAATGTTTGATAATTTTTAATTTGCAGTTAAATTATTAGGCACAGAGTGTCAGATTGTAAAAAGTAAAGCTAATAGTTTGGTTTGTTTGTAATTAAGCACAAAGCTACACAATGGGCTATCTGTGCTCTGCCCACCACGGATATCGAAACCCGGATTCTAGCGTTGTAAGTCCGCAGACATACCGCTGTGCCAGTGAGGAGCTAGAAGAACTGATAGAAAATATCCTAGAGTTGTTTAGGTTTTCTTTTTTTAGTGTTGTATGAAAAACTACGTAATTATATTTCAACCTAATTAACATTAGAAAAACACTGACACACTGAGGTTTTGAACGTCTTTGTATGTTACAGATTGTATCTAAAAAAAAACAAAAGAATAAATTGTTATGTTAAATAGGAGAAAGCTCGGAAACTACTATTTAAAGTACTTTAAATCTGAAGTAAATTAAAACAGTTGTGGTTTAATTATTACATTAAAAATTTCCTTCAAAGTTAAAATCAAGTGTATGAAATTAAAATATAAAGCAAAACAAAAAAGTATATTAAGTTCTCGGGCACTGCCATGTGCATTTCAAACTTCTAGATGCAAATTTTTGTTTTGCTTGACTTGAGGAAAAGCAATCCCATTTTTAATACTACAAGAATAATAAAACATTTTTAAATTTTATAAAAACAACGAAGGATTGATATATACGTAAACTAGCTAGCTATAGTAATATAGACATTTTTAATGCTATAAAAAGTATCGAAAGACGAAAGTCAAAACTACAAAACCTGAGTTACATATTAATATGTTACATATATATCGACCCCTACCTGTCTTTATAAAATAATGTTTTATTACATTTGTTTGTTTCCCTTTTATTACTTATATTTTTGTGCGTCAGCAATACCAAGCGTTTTACCAAGCGCATATACCTGATTGGATTTAATTGTTCATCAGGATCTCTACCAATCTACCCCCCCAAATCTAATTATATGCCCAAAGTAACGCAGCGTCCGTTTTATATATACATATATACTAATATCATTTTCGATACAAGAAAGGAATCGTTGGGATCCCACAAAGAAGATTTATGTGAAAGAATTAGAGCAATAAGGTTAGTAATTTTTTCTGTACGCTTGTCTGGAAAAGTCACTTACTTACTTTAGAGGAAAATTCGTTGAAATAGTGAAATTTTGATTCCCCCCATAAACGTATATATCTATTTAGGCAGTTTTATAAGTACAATAAACTTTAGTTTTGCTCATCCAATACTGTGAAATAGTCATTATTCATATTCAGTCATTTTAAAGGCGATAGTAGTTTCCCTACTATTAAGCACTACCGTTCTTAATGATATTAATGTAACACAGATGTGGATGTGTTTAAAATGTTGTAACTACAATACTTCTAAATATATTATTTAGAGTATTGTGAGATAACGAATTTTTTTTTAAATTTGTTACAGTTTTGTTTGCTGTTCATTTATTATTACTTCTGTAGTTTAGTTCAACCATGAATTTTTAGTTATATTAAAGCCCTAACTCATCTTCTAGCTAGAACACGTTGACTTTGAATATGTTTGTGTATGTGAAGATGAAATATTTCTAGCATTTTTATATTTGTAAGTGTATATTTAAAGAAAAAAATAGCATTATTTTTAAAATTATATTAGATTGTATTTTTCTTTTAAATCTTCCAGTTAGTGTTGGCTTGGAAAGAGGCTACTATTAGAAAGTAAAGTTTGGAATATATTCACTGAAATGTAAATGAGATATAAAATAATGTGTTGTTTCTTCAGCTGAGGAAAGGTGGTGCAAATTGCATCTCCATAACACATTTTAAAGATTAATAAACATAATATTTAGGAAAGATAAATGTACAGAAAAAGATTTGAAAATGATGGATAAATTATTGTTTATAGAGTCTTTTATGACAATATATATCTTTCTGCCAGATTTTAATTTAATAATGATGTGGTAAGGGGCTTGCCATTGACCATCGACTTAATCAGCCCCAGACAATGGCAAGCCCCTTACAGAGCCCGCAGCTAAACCCTAATGCAGACATATTCAGTCCTGTTAGAAGTCACATCCCAGATATGAATGTCAGTAATAGGAGTGATCCAGTGCGAAGGAAGCCAGAGGAATTCGATGGGAAGGCACCGTGGGGAGCATATAGAGCACAATTCGAGCTACTGGCAGAGATGAATGGATGGACAGAGGAACAGAAAGCTGCATATCTGGCAACGAGCTTAAAGGGACAATCACTGGAAATACTTGGACAGTTGACAGCAGGCGACAGGCACAGCTAT